AACTCAACGAGTTGTCAAATGGCTGGAGATCTGTTTGGCTAACTTGACCAATTGAATTTTCTGTTATACATGTTCGTAACCACATTTTTCTCAAAGTTCGTCCCTTTGCAGAACATGAATTGATGACAGCCTTTAGTGAAAAATGCATAGTTACACTGCTTCACGCCATTAGCTTAGATAACAGTCAGCTATGAAACTCTGCTGTCAGTGACAAAAACCACAGCCATCTCGGCAGAGAAAATCTCATGTGAGCTCCCCTAGTACAACAAAGTTGCCACGTATCATGCCAGCACCCCAAATATTCTTAAAATGATATTTCGATATGATCTAGTGTAGTTTGTGTGAATCAATAATAAAAAGTAGTAAGTTTGTCCAAAAGGAAGCGACGGATGACTATTTATTTATGAAAATGCTTGAAAATGAATTTGAAATGGTGGTAGCACCTATTTACAATAAACGAAAAGATATTTACTTTTGCAATGTATTCTACGCTGCTGCAATATAATCAATCCATTGCATTTTCAGTGTAAGCAGACAAATCAACCTTGAATCAGTCTCAAGAATTTCGGCGTCTTTGTCGTAGAAAAAACGAGAGCACATGAACCTTTAAATGGGAGATTTAAGACACATTGTGCATCAGTAGTAATAAAACTAAACCATTTTGCACGAAAACTTTTTTATTCTGTGCTCATTATGAACAAATTCATTTAAGAAATGTATGTTTTGTCATGTAATAATGGAACACCTTGTGGGGAGCGGCATATTTTCTAAATAAGGAGCCTAAAATTTGTATAACTAACTTTTCTAGGTATTTAAAATATCGAAACTACCAACCGCTTACACCTTTTAAAACTCGCTGTGTATGTAAAGGGTTTTTCAATAAGGACGCAATATTTCAAGGTTCTATCAAACGTTGGTTTTCGTAACAAACATCATTAAGAGCCATGACTTCTAATTGTGGCACAAAAAACTGAGTAATCATTGCACGATAACGTTCGCCATTCACTGGTAGTGGATTACCCGCCAAAATGGCGCTAAATTCAAATATTGCGTTCTTATTGATATACCCTTTAAAAGCATCTTAGGTCTTCAGAAGCGTCAGGTTTGATTGCGGTGTTTTAATAGTTTTAAATTGAAAATGGAGTGGATTGGGAATATCGCAGCAGCAAAGGTAAATATGCTTTCTGTTTATTGTAAAACTTCCAATACGAATTGATTTAAAAACTTTTTCATAAATAAATAGTAATCGTCGCTTCTTTTTGGACAAACATACATAATATTGGTACACACATACTACACCAGGTCATATTGGCAGGCAGGGTACGTGACAACACCGGTTGCTGTTGAGCACTAGAACCTCTTTCATCGTTGTGTTTACATTCCACATTTGCCGCCGAAATGGCGGCCGTTTTTGAGAGTGACAGGAGAGTTTCATAGCTGATTGTTTTAGGCTGTGGCAATAGATCGTGACCATGTACTTCATGTCAATCTGTCAACGTCAGAGAATATAGGTTATTTTCCTCACAAGTAGGATCACAGTCTCAGGACTTATGTCACAAATTTCACACGGAAGCTCAAGTTTAAGTTTTAAAACTTCTAGTTCGTGGAATCGACGTTATATATCTAGGATGTGGGTGAAACGTAACGTCATATTCCATTTGTTTAGGTGGTGTTTCGTGATTGCGTCGTTATTGTGTTTTTGAAGCTTTTTTTGATGTTATTGGCATATCTGTTTTTAACAAACCTTCATTACTCCATTACTGTTGAACATGATACCAAAGCACTTTATTAGTTTTTGAATCTATAACTTTTCACAGTACTTACATCAATCTAGTGTGTAAATAGTTCAACAAATGTCCGCAAATACTAAGTTTCACTAAATATAACGCTAAAATAGTTCTCAACAACCCAAATTTATAGGTTATGTATACCTCATATTGTTCAAATGTGGTCATCACCTATAATCTCACGAAATAGTTTTTTTTAAATATCTCATTTTACCCTACGCCTGCACTGTTATCAGACTTGCAATAACAAAGAAAAACGTTCTTCCGCTTTTCATCTTACGACGCGGAGAATCATGAAATCAAGTAATTCAAAGACTACGGAAATTGCCAGGGTCATAAGTTTATGTACGATGGAAAGTTTTTTCATCAACTCCAACAATTTATGAGCTCTCCAGTTCCCCTCTCTGATCCAAAGTGGGAATGGAAACCAAGTTTTGCTTTAACAAATGATTGATACATTTACGAGAAATAACTCATCATGACAGCACCATAATGCGATAATTGGTCATATTGCAAGTAGCATAGGTTACAGATAACATAAATCAATAATGTGAAGCAGATATATAATGTTTTACAGATATTATGTAATTGTTTAGGTAACACGTTATTTCTGAACAGGGTCCCGTTACCATAAGAGCTGTTGGCATTTAACTCTCGTGACTGTTTTCACGAAGTAAATATAGTGCATAGGATGGCACGGGGTGCCTGCCTGCTCAGATTGTATGCGTTTTATTACTTTGGAAGAGTAGAAAACCTTGAAAGCACGCTTTTGAAAATGATTTTGTTATGCCACCTGTTGTGACATGTGAGTGATCCTGCCGCAGTGGCGTATATAAGATTATGCTGCCCCTCCCCCTAACAGAACAAAATATTTATCACGTCCTGGGTAAATTTCTAATTCTTAGGTGAACTAAGTAATAGAGCGCGGCCTGACGAACGTTGCTAACGCTTCCAGATTCAAAGCATTAATTCTAGCTAGCGATCCAGAAACAGATATACATATCTTATTTTCCTGCTTTGCGATTAGATATTGATATGTGAAATAAATTTTATTCATGATTTTTTCGAACTGATACATGGGTAAATTAATCATTTTCTGTTTTTAGAGCTTTAATAGTCATTTCGTATCCTATGGTTACATGAAATTCTATTTTGTGACCAACCAAAAAATATATGGAAAGAAACACTGCTTTGCCTCTTAAAAACAGCAAGGTAAGTCTTCGGACTTTCCTAGTGAGAACCATTACTACTTATTAACTTACCACCGCTATTTAAATGAAGTCACTTCAAAAATACTGAAAATGCACGAAACTATTTTTTCCGCTGCAAAAGTAAAGTGTTATGTATTTTCTTAAGAAAAGCACAGTTAGGCTATTTTCAAGCTACTTGAATGACAAATAACTTTTTCACACTATTTTTTAAAATCCTCTAGGTCTAACAATATCCATTAATGTTGAACCTGGGCTGGAGTACAGTGCATTCCGCTAAGATGAAAAGTACGAAAAATGGGCCTCCAAAGTCACTGTACCCCTTGAACAAATTCCAGAAAGTTAATCATCTATATTGGATGTTATTTTCCATTGGAATTACAAGTTCCCCACGATATGAACAAGTCCATACATACATGCACAAGCCTCCATGTTACCAATATAGAAGAGAATGAAATAAGTCCTTGAATTGTCATATAGGCGTAATTACCACCTAATCCGAATGATTAGACCTTAAATACTGGACTACAGAATTCGTGGCTAGTAACGAATGTTGTAGCGGTCAATAATCAGTGTAACTGCATCCTTGTAGTAGCATTAGATATTTATTTACTACATAACTTCAGTAACAACATTATGGAATATGGAATATGGATCAGTTGAATGTTGAAACGTGTGACATTCCAGAAATAAAACAGAAAGATTAAAAGAAACTTAAAGGACAATTTAAATCAAAGAGATGCCTATGTAGAAGACGATATGTTTTAATGAATATTTTTGGTAATTTCTTTTAAAAATTATGTGTATTTTGAAATTTATATGAGTCTATGGGTACGTGTTCCTATAATTTGGGAGCCAAATAGAGAAAAGATCACTTCTTATCAGGTTTAAGGACAGTTTTTGCAGGTAATTCGCTGACATTTTTGTGATAACGACTGATAGTATGTAAGAATTAAAGTTGTTTGATATCAAATAATTTTGTTTCGTTGTATCAATCATTTGTTGAATATAACTTTGATTTTTCGAACATAGTTCTCAAAACAGCTCCTCTGTAAAACTTCTGTATCGTTTCAATACGCTGGACATGCTACCCCACGCTAATATGTCATACATTAGGTGCTGCTTAATTAAAACATAATATAATAGTGATATGATTAAATAACAAATATTTTTTACAAAACGCAGGCTGCAAAAAATATCTAAATATTTGATATTGTCCGCACTGTCAATTTTCTAATTTGCATTGGTTATTTTGAAAGAAAGGTTTGAATAATCGGGTAGATGTCTTGCAACCTTTTTAGTGTGTGGAGCTACTTTGTAGTGTAGTGTATAATTTGATACCGCCTTTCGAATACAATAATTATCCAAATGTTCATCTGTAAGTCGATTACGATATTTGTTTCCAATAAACTTTCATATTTGAAAAAGAAGATTCACAGAAATAGGTTGTACTAAATAACGCTTTCACTTTCACTTTCAGCGATGCCTTCGCTAAAATTCTGCGTGACAGAAGTTGCAAGCTGTTGGATACCAATTTCCATAAAGTGTGAAACAACATATTGCCACTATAGCGATTTCGTCGAGACTATTTCTACATAATATTTACTTTCATATAGTTCTAATGGACTTTGCGACATGTTTTCTGAAAGAACAGGAAAATGCGTGGTGTCCCTATCGATTAAGTTTTGTTCCCTAAACTCAACCTTTTTGATAATCTCTAAGCCAGATTGAATTTGCCAGTTTCGGAATCGGTTCATCACGTTGCTTGAAAAGTTGAACTATGGCAGATATGATATCATTAAAACGTTTCAGTACTCTTCCCATACTTAACCATAGGACTTCAGAGTGAAGTAGTAGTTCCCCGTATTGACGGTCAAATTTTACTACCAATTCCATAACGTTGTTTAGTTTTAGAAAATATCAACATAATGCTAGCTGATGGATAATGCAGTGGTAACAGAGAAATTGCGGAAAACTTTCATCTTTACGACATAACCCTACGAGACCCTTATCACGACCCAGTTGGAGCGCCATCGGTTGTCAAGCCTACCATTTTCGATAGTGAAATTTTCTCAGAAGAAATAATATTTTTAAAAGAAGAAAACAAGTCCTGCCCAGTAGTCTGTCCTTTTAGTGGAATAAACTTCGAAAGATCTTCTTTAATCGTAAAATCGCTAAAAACCATCCTGACCAACACGGCCATCTGAGAGGTGTCGACGACATCTGTGGATTCATCCAGCTGCAGTGAAAAAGAAGCTCAGTTACCGAAATCATTTTTTAACTGTAAGACTATATCATTGCTCATTACTTCTACTGGTCTCAACACTATATTAGTAGAAAGTTGCATAGATTTTATAGCAGACACTACCTAACTGTTTCAGTTCTTCCGTTCTTGTTGCAGAACGTAATGAGAATGATTTTTCAAAATTCGAATGTACAGTTTTATAGTATCTTTAACTTCTGTAAAGAAATATTATTCTTCCCATTCCGAATGAAATAATTCCTTTAATTGCAGGTTAACTCTAACCCAACCGCTGGACTTTGTGCCGCTCAGTTTTAAACTGAGCGCACTGTCGCCGCGCGTTGCTTATTTATTTCATTCAAAGAAATCCACATCGTTCTCGAACAAATCGCTCACCGCATTGTTACCGCTAGTTGTGATTATTATTAGAATTTACAAAATTTACGGAAGCCTCTATGATTTTTACACCTTTCTAAAATATGTTGTGAGCCACCAGAATTGCCTTTGGGAGCTACCGGTAGCTCGCGATCTACGGGTTGGCGAAAACTGATGTAGAGGGTAAAAAATTCGTTGACAACAGTTCACGGTTAATTTTCTAGTAATGAAAAGATAAATGATTTTACAAAAGTCCGTTGTTGTTCCTAAAGTATTCATATAAAAACGTCTGAAATACCCGTCTCGGTGAATAAATAACGATTCCTCTACTCTGATCAATGGCTTTCTATCCCGAAGGATTGAATTTAAATGTACAGTAACCGGTTACGATGTGGTTGACCGCGAGCCGCGGCTCCCGTGATGAAGCTTCCATTTATACCGCTGCGGGTTGTCGAGTACTCCGATTAGCTGCAATTCCTGCACTGATCACAGGAATTCCCGGAGGGGTTGTTTGACAGATTTATTCAATTTACTGTATAGAACAAAGTAAGGATGCAATAAAATACATTGTGGAACACAAAAAAATAAAGGAATATGCGGCATTATTCTTCAATGAAATCGTGTAATGCTAGGTTTAACCAAAATTAGACTGTAGCGCATAACGACCAAAACTTTTTTCGGGAAAAATTAAGGAAATCGGTAGAAATGATCATAGATAGATGTGAAACTATAAAATAACGTTATTTTTTGCAAAACAACGGTTCAGAACCAGTGTTCCAACTGTTCAAAATATACTAAGTGACATATAAATCCGAACACCCAGTTTAAATGGTTTTATTTTAATAAAATTTTGGATAAGTACTTAATGAAGCATAATAAGTAAATGATAAAAATTTCAAAATGATTGCACTGCTTTAAGGCCCTTTGACCTTTAATAATGTGTGGATGCACCCTGATGTGCTACGCATTCTCCAACGCGCCTAGGCATGCTTCTGATCAGGTGGTCAATATTCTCCTGTGGTATCTCATTCCAGGCAACCAGCAACTCCTCTCGAAGTGCTTCTAGAGTCTGAGGAGGACGTTGCAAATTGAGCAATCTCCTACCCATCATATCCCATACGTGCTCAATTGGGGATAAGTCGGGAGATCTTGGTGGCCATGGTAACAATGTGACATCATTATGTTGAAAGAAGTATATTGTGACTCTTATAACATGTGGTCGGGCACTATCTTGTTGGAAAGTTGGATCTGCCAGGGTGTCAAGATAGGGTAAAAGATGGGGTTCTAGAACTTCGTGAATATAACGCTGCGCGTTCATGTTACCTCTGATGAAGATTAAAGGTGACCTGGACCCATAAGCTATAGCACCCCAAACCATAACTCCAACAGTGTGATGAACATGTCTTTCAACAAAAAACTGTGTATTCCTCCTTTCACCACGTCACCTTCTAACCCTGGCACGACCATCGTGCATGCCTAAACAAAATCGAGACTCGTCACTAAAGACAATACTGTTCCATTCCTGATCCCAGAGTGACCGTTGTCTGCACCACTCAAGGCGATTACGTCGGTGTAAGGGTTAGAAGGCGATGTGGTGAAAGGAGTAGTCAACAGTTTTTTGTTGAAAGACATGTTCATCACACTGTTGGAGTTATGGTTTGGAGTGCTATAGCTTGTGGTTCCAGGTCACCTTTAATCTTCATCAGAGGTAACATGAACGCGCAGCGTTATATCCACGAAGTTCTAGAACCCCATCTTTTACCCTATCTTGACACCCTGGCAGATCCAACTTTCCAACAAGATAATGCCCGACCACATGTTGGGAGAGTCACAATATACTTCTTTCAACATAATGATGTCACATTGTTACCATGGCCACCGAGATCTCCCGACTTATCTCCAATTGAGCACGTATGGGATATGATGGGTAGGAGATTGCTCAATTTGCAACGTCCTCCTCAGACTCTAGAAGCACTTCGAGAGGAGTTGCTGGTTGCCTGGAATGAGATACCACAGGAGAATATTGACCACCTGATCAGAAGCATGCCTAGGCGCGTTGGAGAATGCGTAGCACATCAGGGTGCATCCATACATTATTAAAGGTCAAACGGCCTTAAAGAAGTGCAATCATTTTGAAATTTTTATCATTTACTTATTATGCTTCATTAAGTACTTATACAAAATTTTATTAAAATAAAACCATTTAAACTGGGTGTTCGGATTTATATGTCACTTAGTATACATACTATAAATGATGGTATTTACTTGTTAAACTGTGTAAAGGTGTTGTGTTGTGATTTTTCAGTGTCTTCCTGAAATTACTTATCCATTTCTTTCTCGTATTTTTAATAAGATTAACGTTTCTGCGTTTATAAGAAATGTTTGAAAGTAGAAACAGTTCATAATGTTAATTTCTTGACGTATAAGACAAATGCTGTCCATTGTTGCCAAATTGCACATTTTGGGAGAAATACGTAATCCAAAAATATGGTTATTTGCTAAATAAAAGTATTTAACGTAAATGGCTTTTTTCTATGAAGTTGTTCCAATAATTCCTGAAAACTAGAGGAAATTTTGAACAGTATGTGCTTAAGCAGTGGAAAATGCACTAGTGGCTTGCACATAAAATACTCAAATTATTGTGTTTCCAGGGAGCAGCACCTGGAGGCGATCGATAATAACTCCCCATTCCTTCAAGTAAATCATTATAAATTCGCCTAGAAAGAGGCGTTTTGTGCCTTCTTATTAGAAGCGCTTACAACTGATATTCAGCTCTAATTAATTCTAATGAAAACACGGAAAATCAATTCCGCCAACGCGACGATTCCTACGCCAAAAATATCCAGATCCAGGACAGGCATATCGTTGAATTATGGGGATAAGCAGCTCGGCATTCCTCTCCGACACCTCCACCGTCCTGACATTTTCCCTTCCCGATTTTTCAATCATTTTTAGTACCCGGTTGGCCTTTGATGTTGCGACCTCGGTTGTAATTGCCCTTACCAAACTTCGAATCGTCGATTTGGACCACGTCGCGAGGTCCACCCAACATACGGTAAAGTAGGGTAATTTTTACCACCTAACATATTTTATGGAATAACTCCGTAATGACTTATTTGAATTGAACGAATCTTCAAAGTAAGATAATTTGGCATGTCTCTGTGAAAATGCACAGCTTAAGACTGATGTGAATACTAAGAGTTTAGAACAATAAGCTGTTTAAAAAAATGTTACAAACGGTACAATTTATTGAACCGGTTCATTAAGTTGTACCACGAGGTTTTTAAATTGTACCACACTAAAATGCTTAAGATTTTCATTGTTAGTGGAACAGATGTGATAATCGAGACATGGTGATAATTTAAATGTTTTAATAATCCAACTTAACAATTCAGAAATAAGGAGAAAATATGAAGTAAAATATTACTCTAAAAAAGCAACTCAAAATATATGTTGGATAAGGTTATTTTACTATTTTTATTTTATTTTTACGTCAGTGCATAATCATTGATTGACGACGCCCATGCGCTGCTTACGCTACTGAAGAAGCCTTCTAGAATAATCCAGACAACAACCGCGCAAGCGCCTCACGGTTTTGCAGCCTGGCAACGTGGCAATTAGTGGTGTTGATTCTAGTTACTTTCAAGTACTCGTTACTAATCGTTACTTCTCTACAAAGTAATCATTTATTGTATTCGTTACTTTGATTACTTTGATTACTATGAGTAGTATGAATATAACGATTTGACAACGTGCGTCCTGTAATTTACGTCGAATTTGAACAAGTTCATTGGAACCGAATCTTGTAAGAAAATGACAAGCTTAAAATATGCAAAATGCTATAAGCATAGTTTATTCAAATCTGTCGTGTTTAATGCAAACATCGTATATTAAAACTTTATGCTTATGGAGATGGGTTATTATAGGATAGAGTGTCATATGACTCATATGAGCCTACAAACTGAAAATACTTTGTATTTGCTAGAAACGCTTGAAAACGTCTTTTAGTCAGAAAGATGATCTGTATATGGGCTTAAGGAAATTCGGGATTGCAAGTAACTTTTCGAAGCATTTCAATTAAGCATATACCAGTATAAAATTCTACGTGGAACTTAGTCTACACATACTATTGTTGCTCATACTGGATTATAATTTTTTTAGCAAAACTGTACAAGTAAACACGAGTCAAATTGACATAATTTTTATTATTAAAGTTTTCCTGAACGGTGATGTTACCGTGTTGTCGCTCCTAGAATCCAATCGACTCCTTATTTCTTTTCAGGTTCCCAAGATCACAACAATAAAATCAAACTTGAGTCATGGCGTAAATAAGTAAACTTCCGATTTAAAAACAATTAGCAAATTATATGTCCGCCAATCATAAAACGCTATGTTTCCAGGTTTCCACCCGAATGTGGGATGTCTGGCAACCCTGATGCATGAGGGGCAGTGCTACAGTCAAACCAGCGTTGCCACTCAATGAGCCACGATTGTACGTGTTCCGATTGGTACTCCTTACTTCGGGTATCTATGAATAACGAGTACACGAGAACCGTATCGTTACTTGTTCAACATTACTAGGCAATGGGCAGTCTGAGTTCAGCCGCCGAGCAGGGAGGACGTAAAGACGTTTCATAAGACGCGAACTGCAACGCAGGCGGGGTTGTATTCACTACCTTTATTTCTTGTATTTGATTAATAGACGGCTATTCATCTGTATCCACGGACTCAGACCCCTAGACAAACAAATAATATCCCTACGTATACGTATAAATAAAAAGTTTCATTTATTGATGACGTTTTGTATAGTTTTATTCTTGATTCCATGTTTTCCACCCCTCATTTTCCATATTTTAAACACTTGCCAGGCATGACTGAAAAATAATACTCGAGTTTGTTGAATTATACTGGTACAATTTAATAAACCAG